GTGCCCTTCTGCCTGACAATGGTGGGAGGGTCTTGCCTGGGGTCCAGTTTCAGGGTGACAGTCCTCATAAAACCTGAGTTGCCTGTCATTCTCTTTCCTCTCCTGGGAGTGGAGACTTTATCACACATTCAGTGACTGATGATGCACAAGTACCATTCAAAGCATCTTGAATCCTATGAGTCTCACTTCAGTCCCAAGAGGTAGGCACCACATGATCCCTGCTTTATAGATCAGGAAACTAGGCACAGGGAGGTCACTCACTGCTCTGGGATCCAGTCCCAGAGCCTCTCAGGGGTTCCGACGGGTACCCCATCATGGATGGGGGGAGGCTCCGTGACCCATGGTATTTTGGTGAGTCTGGCATCAACCCTGTTCTACATGAGACATCATCATACAACCAGCCGGCAGTGCTGAGCACAGCCTCCTGCTCCCACCCAGGGCTTTGGTTTCCCTTTCTCTATTCTATTTCCTTATTTTTGTGCCTACTTCTCGAAAGAAATGATGGAAGGCTGAACACAATGAAATGACACCTTTCATGTGCTGAAATAAAAGAAATAACCTGAGGAAATACTTTCAAAAAGGGGCAAAATAAACATGGTCTAAAACAACAAAATAATCAATGTGTGCAGTCCCTGCCTGGTCCATGCTAGCACATCTGTGCTAAAGCAAAACCCAACTGAGGGTCTTCAGACAGAGGAAAAGCAACTGGAGGATAAAACAGGAAATGCAGGTAGGAAGGAAGACAGCATCACAGAACAGCTTTGGGAGTAGACACAGCGAATATGGAAGGTACGGAGTGGTAGTTTCAATGGACTGTGGAATTTGAAGTATATGTACAACCAAATTAATGACACTCTAATGATGTGAGAGTTGGAAGTGGTGAATGGACTTTAAAGGTATAGCAATTCTGGGGAACTGTTCAAAGTAACAGTTAGTACTTGGCTAAAATACTGCTACATAGTGTAATCTCTAAAAGGACCACTGTGAAAAGAATAAGAGATGTATAATGAACAAATTAAATAGAAGAAAGAAGTGGAGTATTGAGAAAGCTAGATACCCCAAAGAAGGAAAGAAAGGAGAAATAAGAGAACAAACAGATTGGCTAAATAGAACATATAAAGTGAGTTGTAGATATAAACCCAAACACATCAGTAATTATATTAATGTGAGTGGACTAAAAATGTTATCAAATATGTTTTGTAAAAACATGGAAGCAAATGATGCTTTTTCTAAGAGTCACATTTTTAACATAAAGACTTAGACTGAAATGGAGAGGATGGGAAAACGACAGAGATGCGAAGTCAAACCACAGAAGGCTGGTGCAGCTCTGCTGCTCTCAGAGGGGCTTTCAGACACAGGCTTTGCTAGAGATGAAGAGAGGCCCAGGCCACAGGCAGATGTCCCCATCCTAAATCACTACGCTCCAATTATAAAGCTTTAAAATAATGTACATACAACAACATTAGCAGAACTAAAAAGAGAGATCCCAAACACACAGAGATATTAACACTGTCTCACAGTAATCAGAGTACATGCAGACATCCAGCTGTTCAGAATCCACAGTGAATGAGAATGCTGGAACCGCTGGGCTCTCAAACGGCCTGCCAGCTCCTCTGGGGAGGCTGAAGACAGGCTTGGTGCCCGGCCTAGCTGTCTCTTCCCCAAGAGGGTGAGGTTGAGCATGGAGTCAGGCTGAGAGAGAGGAGCATGTTCTCAAGCCAAGTAGAGTTGGAGTTTCTAGCCAGGACCCAGACCATCCTCCTAACCCTGTAGCTGCTCTCCCTGAGCACCTGAGTCAGACTCTGGGCAGGAGAGTGGATGGAAATCAGGACAGATGGGGACGATGAGGGGGTTCTGGGAGGCTGTGATGGTTGGAGGGCAGTGGCTGGTCCCCGCAGCTGTGGACACTGAGAGCCTCTAACTCCACCACTTGAAGCTTCGGGGACAGACAGGCCAGGCTTCACTCCCACCTCTGCCTCTTCCCAAAGTTCAAGAAAAAAAAGGTACTTGGTATTTTCACCACAGACGTCTTGCTTCAAGGTTTTCAGCCACAGATATTCTTGTACCATAACTAATAGGCCTTAAGGCAATGTTGCTGTTAATAAAGGATAAAAACAAAAGGAGGGCATTAAAAAGGACTTAACAAATCCAAAAAGACTTGATTGAGAAATATAGAATATTTGAACATAGTTAAAATGTGTGTAGCTTCTCAGGAATACTGCATGAAGAACTGAATTTATGTTGTGAGAACTGGTTGCCTCTGTGGGAGAGGGGGGCTCACTCTGCACCCTCCGAGAGGACGAGGGCCTCTTCCTTCCTGGCAGTGTCATCTGTGTCCAAATAGGAAATCAGAAAACATTTGAGATTTTTAAAAAAGATTTATTTATTTATTTTTAGAGAGGGAAGGGAGGGAGAAAGAGAGAGAGAGAGAGAGAAACATCAATGTGCGGTTGCTGGGGGCTGTGGCCTGCAACCCAGGCATGTGCCCTGACTGGGAATCGAACCTGCGACACTTTGGTTTGCAGCCCGCGCTCAATCCACTGAGCTACGCCAGCCAGGGCTAGAAAACATTTGAGATTTTTCTCCCTGGCCTATGTCATTAATTTGGCTCAAATAAACTCTTGTAAAAAATAATGAGGAATCAACTCTTGAGAGACAAATCATTGCCATGCAGAAGAAATGCCAACAATTTGAAGACCATGACCACCACATCTACTCATCACCACACAGACCACTGTGGGGGCTGCTGAAGATTTATGCAGTAATGTCAAAGTGGGAGCACCTACCAGATTTCACCCACAGAGACAAGAACCCAAGGAAGCAACCACCCATTACAGAGCCCATTTCAACATCCTGTAATGAAGAGGAAGACTTCCTTCCTGATGTTTGATTGACAGCTTTGAAGCCCCATGCCTCCCCCTTCAGCCCTATACATGTCCAGCCCTCAGGAAAGTCCTGGGGCTCCACCCCTCACCCCTAAGGGAAGGTCAAACCACAAAGAGCAAGACCTGCCCCAACTCCTGGCCTAAATGAAAGCTGTGGTCATCCCACTTCCCCCTGACTTCGCCCTGGATGAAACCTGAGCCCTTCCCCTTGGGTGCCCTATTCTTCTCTCCTGTGTGCATTGTAAGCTTTATTTTATATACGTTTGTGCCATGTGTCATTCCTCCTGACATTCTTATAACTTCCTGCCTGAGGGGCTGTCCTGTACCCAGCCAGGGTCCCTAGGCACCCAAAACCACCACCAACAACAGCAAAAGCCCTAGAGCAGCTTCCTCTGCACTGCCCAGGCTCAGTGGTCACTGTCAGGGGCCAGGCTGCCACCTCTACTGGACTTAAAGCTCCGTGATATTAAGAGCAGTGCTGGTAGGGCCACAGACAGGTGCCTAGTTGTGGATGCTGTATCCTCCAAAGACCAGGGGACACTCAGGTTCTCATAGGAAATAAGAGATAGTGAAACCCCTTTGGTTTTACTCTCTCTGCCCAGTTCCCTGGGTGTGAGGAAGCCCCTGGCATGAGGCTCCTCTGCAGGTTACAGACATGGGGTCTCCATCAGTCTCAGGCCCAGCCCCTCCCAAAGGGAGAGCAGGCCCCAGGGTTAGGCACTGCTGGACAAACCCCAAGGAAGACATTCCCCTGGGTGGTGCTGGCAGATCTGAGCTTTCGGAATGTGAAACAGAGAAGGAAATTGGGGTTTCCACCTGTCATAGGCTTCCCCACTGGCTTTCTCTGTGGCCCAGCAGCTAAATAGGCTGACTCTCCCTGCTGGCAGCTCTGGGGTGTTATTTCCACCTGGCTGCAGGGAACCCCTTCCCGGGGACAGGCAGGAATGTGGAGGAATTTCACCTGTGCTCGAAGAATGTCAGGTATGCAGGTCGGGCACTTCCCAGTGCCCCAGGCCCTGCCCTCTGCTTGCTGACTGGATGGGTTGGCTGCTCTTTGCTCCACCTGCATTCTTCAGGTGTCAGGCGTGTTTCCAGGTACCTGCAATGGCTTTACGGGATCACGGCCTGGGTGTGCACACCAACTTCCAATTCCCAGTGGCAGCAAACGGAAACCACTCAACACAGTATCAGTAGAGGAGTCTTTGAGAGTACAGGGGATGAGGGGCTGATAAATTTTCTGGCAGGGCTGGACCTACTCCATGATGAGAGTCCAGACATGCCCAAGTATGACACTGTCCAACTGGGAAGATTTAACATTTTTCACTTAAATAATTGGACCCTATCCAGCAAAACCATAGAAGTACTGAAGGGCATGAGTCATCTCACCTTGCCATGTGGATGGGGAAACCACCATTAGACACCAGGTATGATGGAGGATGCCCCAGGTCAGGGCACTGGGGTGACTGGGTTTCCCGTCCTTGGGCACATGTCTTAGAAGTGGCCATATGATGCCCAATTATACTATAGCCTGAACTCAGCCCAGGTCTGTCCCAAGACAGGGCCCACCACCTTCCTCCTAGAGGGACATAAGGAAATACAACTAGGAGGTGACATTGATATAATAGAACATAGGCAGAAAGTGACCTTGAACATTTCACCCCAAATCCTCTCAAGCCTGTAGGTAAGCTCGGAGAGTGGAGTTGTGCTACCTGGACAAGTAAGAGGAACCAAGCAATGGTCCCATGTCTAGACCTCAGCCTAACCTCTAGATTCCAGAATCATCACGGGGGAGGTTATCCCAAGAACTTCCTGAACTCAGAGTGAATTGGAAGAGTATAGAGCATACTGAAGACTCAAGGACAGTTAATATAACTATGGTAGACAAGTAAATTTATGCCCCCAATTCATTTACATAGCAATATCTTCTTGATTATAATAGCAAAATAAAAGTCAGAATATTTTATTTGAACACATTACAATGTTGGGCTGGACAAGCGACGTTATCTTGTTATCATGTCTGGTTGGTGCTGATCCATTGAGAATGACTGATGTTAGTCCAAAAGAGCTGCAGGTGTGGTGGTGTAGGGCTGGCAAGAAGAGTTCCAGGTGTCCAGGCTTTGATCATTCATATCATCTACCGTCCAAGGAGAAGCCCTAAAAAACATTGTTATTCCCACAGCAACAACTGATTAGTAGGTAGAATTTCAATACTGTCCTGTCCTGTGTAAGTAATTGCTAGGGTATTGCTAGCTCCTTCAGCAACAACCTCTGCGGCCCTGGCCTTATCATGAGGATGTTTCTTTACCCATACCTCAGCTCCAGACTTCATGTTGGTAGACCTAAAGCCTCCCACTCTGGTGGAGGAATTAGGAGATGGGGAAGTTGTTCCCATTTCCCCTTGTGATAGGGGATAATGACTACTTGAGCCACCTGTTCCTGGGCTTGCAGTTGTACAGGTTGTGAGGATACATTATGCAGTAGTACTTTTATTTCTCCCACATAGTCTGAATCAGTAACTCCAGACATAATTTACAATCCCTTTAAAGCTAGGCTAAATCTCGGGAGAATATGTCCAAAATGTCCTTTGGTGATTGGTATGTCTAATCCTGTTAGGATAGTCTGAGTAGTATTAGGATTGATCCAGATCTCTTGCAGCATGCATAAATCACTTCCTGCTGATCCTAAAGTGCCCATAGATGGGACCTGAGCACTAGGATCGATCACCCACCATTTTAAGGTAGTAGGACATTGCTGGCTATGAATCTGCAAATTGGGAGTCGTCATTCATGACAAAGGCATAGAATTGCCTAAAGGCTGATCATTCAGTTGCTGCAAAGCAAGGAATAAGTGATCTTCCCAGTTTTTATAAGAATTATTTTCTAACTTTCTCAGCTTTTCTTTGAGGAGACCATTCATTCTTTCAATTAGGCTCCCAGCCTGTGGATAATAAGGAATGTGATATACCGATTCTAGATTACGTTACTGGCAATAAGTCTCAATTTCCTTTCCTTTAAAATGAGAACCATTATCACTCTGAATTTGTAAAGGGGGAATCATAATAAAGTGTAATGATATCAAGGGTTTTACATGTATTTTGGGGGGTAGCACATTGGTATGCCTAGGCAATCAATACCCCCGAATAGGTGTCTACACAAGTACAAATAAATTGGCATCCCCAACTTACAGGCAAATCTAATCTATTTGCCAAATTTGAGCAGAGAGTGTACCTCTAGCTAATTCCCCCATTATTATCTTGGGGATGGAACATAAAGCATCCTTCTGACAGATTTCACACTCATCCTTTATTTACCTTAAAATGGAGAAAGGGACATCTGTTCCTCGGGCCTGTACCCACCTGTGCATAGCTTGTGTTCCTAAATGTCCTGCTTGATGGTGTATCCATTGGGCAAGGGAATAGTTGTCTTCAGAGGTGGTGGCCGCAGCAGCTATTTTTGCCAGGGCGTCTGCAGTGGCGTTATACTCACACTCAGGTGAATCCTTCTTAGGATGTGTGTCTACATGGAAAACAGAGACATTAGTGCACTAAACAATATCCCAAATTTCTTCCCATAGAGGTTTTCCACAAAGTTCCTGTCTATGAATCTCCCAATTACTATGTTTCTAAATGGGCATCCATGTAGTTAATCCGTTGGCTACTACTGCCCAGGAGTCAGTAAATAAATGACATTCTCCCCACCACCCCCCATGTCCTGTACAAGGGCTTGGTGAACAGCTTTCAGCCCAGCCAGTTGGCTGCTGCCCTGTTTTCAGGTGGTTTCTAAGGTGACTCAAGTATGGGGATTGTAAGCAATAGCCTTCCAATGCTTTTCTTGACCAATGTATTTGGCTGTCCCATCAGTAAATCAAGCATGCTGTTTTTGGGCAGGGGTTAGGGAAATATATCCCACTCCCCAACAGATGGGAGAACTAAGCTTTTCCTTAGCACAGGGAAGTATAGTTGTCTCTCCCTCCAGTTGTCCTCCATCCATTACCAGTTCATGGAGGTGCGCCACCCCTGATTTGCCAGCCTTCACTCTGTTCTGAATGTTTCCACTTAATTATACTAGCTTTTTGGGTGTGTCCAATTTTATGGGATGCTGGAGCACTCAAAATCCAATTCATAATGGGGATTCCAGGTCGTAGTAGGACGTAATATCCCACAGTTAACTGTTCTGTTTCTGTCAAAGCCCAGTAAGCAGCAAGAAGTTGCTGTTCAAAGGGGGCTATGATTAAATATGTTTTAGACAAAAGTGGCTAGCACCAAGGGCCTTGTGTGATTTTGACTAACTAACCATTCCCTCTGGGAGAAGGGCCAATTCTCCCAAGGGAACAGCTAAAGATCAAAAGGTACTAATCTCCTGGGGAAAAGGGCCAGTTCTCCCTGGGAGACAGCACTATCTTTTGCTTTTCTAATGAAGGTCACAGTTCAGGCATAAACAGGGAGGATACTCAAAATCCCTTTATCCCTTCCTGTACCTACCAATTTGTGCTTCTTAATTTCTTCACCTTTCCCTCCACTTCCCCTTTCTCCCTACCAGCTGATAACTCTCCAAATGATCAACATATTTGTGATTCTGTTCCTGTTCTGCTTCTTTGCTTAATTTGTTATTTGGATTCAAATATTGATAGTTGTGAATTTATTGCCATTTTAATGTTTATCATTTTGGTCTTCTTCTTTTTCTTATATAATTCCCTTTAGCATTTCATATAATAATGGCTTGGCAATGATTAACACTTTTAGTTTTACATTGTCTGGAAAGCACTTTATCTGCCCTTCCATTCTAAATGATAGCTTTGCTGGATAGAGTGATCTTGGTTGTAGTTCTTGCTTTTCATTATTTTGAATGTTTCTTGCTAGTCCCTTCTAACCTACAAAGTTTCTTTTGAGAAATCAGCTGATTGTCTTATGGGAACTCCTTTGTATGTAACACTCTGTTTTTCTCTTAAGATTCTCTATCTTTAACCTTTGGCATTTTAATTATGATGTGTCTTGGTGTGGCCACTTTGGGTCCATCTTGTTTGGGACTTTCTGTGCTTCCTGGACTTCTGTATATTTCCTTCAGCACATTAGAGACTTTTTCTTTAATTATTTTTTCATGTAGATTCCCAATTTCTTGCTCTTTCTCTCCTCCTTCTGGCACCCCTATGATATGAATGTTGGACTGCTTGAAGTTGTCCCAGAGGTTCCTAAGCCTATCCTCCTGTTTATTATTATTATCACTATTATTATTATTATTATTATTATTATTATTATTATTATTATTTTCTTCCTGCTGTTCTGATTGAGTGATTTTTCTTTCCTTGTATTCCAAAGCATTGATTTGATTCTTGGCTTCATTCCCTTCACTGTTGGTTCCCTGTAGATTTTTCTTTATTTCACTAAATGTAGCCTTCATTTCTGCCTGGGTCTTTTTTATGCTGTTGAAGTACCCAGTGAGTTCCTGGAGCATCCTGATAACCAGTGTTTTGAACTGTGTGTCTGATACATTGCTTATCTCCATTTCATTTAGTTCTTTTTCTGGGGTTTTGTTCTGTTCTTTTATTTGGGCCATATTTCTTTGTCTCCTCAATTTGGCAGCCTCCCTGTGTTTGTTTCTGTGTATTAGGTAGAGCTGCTTTGACTCCCTCTCTTAGTAGCGTGGCCTATTGTAGAAAAGCACACCTGTTAAGCTGTATGGGGCAGAGCCTTAGGTAACTGCCGGGGCAGGGCAACCTGTGTCACAGCTTCATTGCTCTGTGTGAAGGAGGGCTCAAAGAGGGGACAATGCCACTGTCTGGCCTCTGGAGTTCTGCCCAGAAGCTGTCTCCCAGTGCTGTCCTTGTTGCCAGTCTCTTCACTTTCTCCCTGTATGCTACTGATGCCCTTCCAGCTGTTGCCCTGGTGCTGAATCCCAGAGGGGGTAGTTCTGTGTGAATCCTAAGTCTACTGTGGGCCCTTTAAGAGGCATCTCTTGAGAATCCTGTAGTTTCTTCTGCTGCCCCAACCCTCACTAGTTTTTACAGCCAGAAGTTATGGGGGCTTAGCTTCCTGGAGCTGGAACCCCGGGCTGGGTGGTCTGGTCTGGGGCTGGGATCCCTGGCTCCTGAGGTATCCCTCCTGGTTTTTATCCACTACACATGGATGTGGGACCATCTGATTCACATTTCCGTGCCTCTCTACCTCTTCACACCTCTCTGCATGTCTCTGTGTCTCCAACCCTTCTACCTGTCTGGATGAATGTGGCTTCTTTAAATCCTGAGTTGCTGGACTTATGCATAGCTCAATTTTCTGACAATTCTGGGTCATATTTGTTTTTGTAGTCTAGTAGTATATATTTTGCTATAGTTGTGCATGGAGGCAAGGAGTGTTTACCTATACCTCCATCTTGACTGGAAGTCTTATTTTTATAACTGAAAGTCTGTACTTCTTTTTTTTATTTTAATACATAAATTATTAGTTCCAAGGTTCTTACAATCTAAAAGGCCCTTCTTTTTAAAAAAATTTAATCTTTAAAGTATTTTTTCCATTACCATTTAGTCCCTTTATATACCCCTCCCCCCTAGCAATCACCACACTGCTTATCCATGCCCTTGAGTATTTCTCCTTTTTTTTCAATCATTGGTGTTTCTGAGTTGTTAGCTTCTCAGTTCTATCTCTGGGATATACAATGCTCAAAAAAGCCCAGGGAATTAATTCACCACCGTTTTGTGCCTTCTCTCCACCTTTCAGAATCTTTTAAAAAACTATTTATAAGTGTGTTAATTGATTTTAGAGACAGAAGAAGGGAGAGAGAAACATCAATCAGTTGTCTCCCATGTATGCCCCAGTTGGTGATGGGACCCAAAACCTAGGTACATGCCCTGACCAGGAATCAAACCAACAACGTTTTGATGCATGGGATAATGCTCCTGGCCAGTGTGACTCCAACCAACTGAGTCACACTGGCACCTTTCAAAGTCTTCTTGTGTTTTATGTATAACATCCAGAGTTTTTAGCTTTACCTAGAAGAATAGGGAAAAGTATGTCTACCCTATTTTTCTTGAAACAAATTTCCCCTATGTTTCATAAATAATAAGATCACTTAAAAGAAAAAAATTTATATTTTAGTTCCCTTAACAGCAGTTGCTTTTTTGTTTGTTTATTTGCTTGCTTGCTTGCTTTTTGACCTAGGAGCCCTGCATTTTCATTTTTTATGGTCTTGTAGATTCTGCAGATGGCCCAGTGCTCTGGCTTTCATCCCACTCCTTTTGGCCAAGTGGTCCATAGACTCTAGAGTCACTTGATCATGGAGGGAATTTTATTTCCTGGACCCAAGAGCTTGAGGTCCCTATCACTTCAGGGTGAGAAGTTTGTAAAGATGTTTTCATCATCTCTCTGACCCCAACTCTACAATTGTGTGTGCACCTAGCAGATTTCTATACATTTGTTCACTGCATGAAGTAGTTGTCTTCAGCTTTCAGACAGTAAATGGAGGCTTACATTTGACAAGCCCATCCCATCACATTGCCCTGTCAGCTTCCCAATGAGGCCTGTTGGCCCTACAGAGCTCTGTACCTTGCTTCCCATGGGGCCTCCAGATGCTCATTGCTAGACACTCAGTAGAGAGCAGACTGGCCCACAAGTCTTTCTCTTACTCTCTGTCTTCATCTCTGAATCTACTTCTGTCTCTCAGTCACTCATTCACAATCTGTATCCCTTTCCCTATTTAATCACAGACCTCAGAGCATTCACAGAATGACATAAGTGTTGGGAGCTGGGGAGTGTAGGGTGTATGTGTGGGGCTCAGAAGAAGGAATTAGCCCATCACAGAGGCAGAGGTCCTCTCCCCATCTCCTGTCCAGCCCCTCAGGGTGGCTTCTGCCCTTCCCACCTCCCATAGTAGCTGCAGGGGCAGGAAGCATGAGGGGACTCTGGGGCCAGGGTCTTCTCCACCCCATGGGGAGGAATATCCAACTCCCCAGGCTCATGCCTTCCCCACTGGTGGAGAGAAGCCTGAGCCCAGAGTAGAGATAGGAAACTTAGGCTGACCCAAGAGACACTGATTTATGTGGTGGGTGGGTGTTAGGAGAGCAGAGAAACATTCCTCTGGAATCATTTCTCAGCAAGCTGCCTCAGGAAATTTGAAAAGAACACACATAACTTTAACAGACATTAAGATATGTTTTTATCATTTGAATACCATGCCAGCCACCCATTCATCCTCATATCCTAGATTTCGACCTTAGGAATGGCCTGGTTGTCCCTCATAAGCTGCACAAAATGAGAGAGACCAAGACTGAGCATTTTAGGAGAGAACCAGACATGGAGAGGGATGGGGAGATGCAGGATGGGATCCCCACACAGGAGGGCCCCAGCCTCCAGTGTCCACCCCTGCCATAGTCTCTTCTCCTGTTGTCACCTTGAGTGAGGCAGGGTCTTTACCTGGCACAGACCCTGGAGATGGGAGAGGAATGGCACCGGGACTTCATGCCTTGAACTTTCAGTCGCACGACAAACCTCCTTTGGGGGCCAAACGACTCAGGACAGCAGAGCTCAAGGCAGGGCCAGAAAGTACAGTTGGGGCCACAGAGGCGGGTCCGGTTTAGGGGCAGGATGGTGTCATCATCACAACACTGTTCCAAGGGGTTGTACATCCAGTGTCCACACTTGGGTGCTGGCTGGCACAGCAACAGGCCAGAGTTCATGTGGGCCCCTGGACAGAAATTGCTGGTGAGTTCAAGGAGGACCAGCATGACCCCACTCCCAAATCAGGAGCCTTCTGTGAACCATAACTTTCTTCCCAAAGGGTAGCCTCATCCCCCTTCATTCTTCCCCACCCTGCACTCACCTGTGCCTGCTACTGAGCACCAGATGAGGAGGAAGAGTAAAATGCAGACAGAACCTGCAAGAGAAGGAAAGGGGATTGAGGATGAGGCTGGGATTGTGGACCACAGTGAGGGCAGGCCAGTGTGGGGAAGGCTCAGTTCCAGTTTGCTCTACAGATTTGAGTCTGGGGCCATCTCTGCACAGGGTCCAGTTCCTGACACAGGGGACAGTCCAGACAGCTGAGCCTATGCGCAGCATGGATCATTTGAGGGGAGAGAATGCTGGGAAAACTCTTGGAACCACAGTTTAGGATTCTGAGCATGCAGTGCAGTTCCCTAGTTGGCAGAAGGGTGGAGCAGGTGTTAAAGATATCAGAGGGTGATCAGGAAGGAGGAAAGAAGCTGAGGTTAGAGAGACAAGGGAGAGACAGTGTGGGTGCGTGGGTGCTTTGGGGACACGATTGGACTTGAGTAGGTCTTGGAGTTGGAGCTCTCCTGTGTTTCAGCTTCTGGGCTGAACATACACATATATATTTTAAAAGATTTTATATATTTATTTCTAGAGAGGGAATGGAGGGAGAGAGAGGGAGAGAGAGAGAGAGAGAAACATCAATGTGCGGTTGCTGGAGGTCATGGCCTGCAACCCAGGCATGTACCCTGACTGGGAATCGAACCTGCAACACTTTGGTTCGCAGCCCACACTCAATCCACTGAACTACGCCAGCCAGGGCTTGAATATACACATATTTTTGAAGTTTGAGAGTTGAAGGAAATGTAGAAAAGGATAGAATGTAAAGGTGTTTTTATAGATGCAATTACATGACTATAATATAAGAGAAAGCATTTATCCAAAATGATACAGAAAAAAAACATTTGATGAAATCTACACTTTTATAATTTTTAAAAAATCCAAGAAAGAACAAACAATTAATAGAAGAAAACTTCCTCACCTGATAAAGGGTATTCACAGGAAAATTCACAGCTTATCATACCTAGTTGTGGAAGACGGAAAGCTCTGTCTTTAGCATCAGGAATGGGACAAACACGTCCACTCTCACCACTCTGCTCAACAAAGCACTGGGAGTTTAAGTCGGGAAATTAGGCCAGAAAAGAAAGAAAAGGCATTCCTATTGGAAAAGAAGTAAAACTTTTTCTATTTGCAAATGACATGACCTTGTATATTAAAAATTCTAAGGAAGCTATCTAACCCCTATAGAACTGACAATTCAGCAACATACAAGATCAACATATAAAAATCAATTGTATATGCTGACAGAAACCATCTGAAAATCACATTAAGAAAATAATTCGACTTACAATAAAACCAAAAATAAAATACTCATGAATAAATTTAACAAAAGAAATGCAAACTTTGTACACTGAAAACAACAAAGCATTACTGAAAGGAATTGAAGACAATATACAAATTAATTGAAAAACATCTATGCTCATAAATGGGAAGACTGAAAATTAACAAGCTGATCCTAAAATGCAAGGGACCCCAAATAGCAAAAACGGTCTTGAGAAAGAAGAACAAAGTGGTTGAAATGACACTTACTACAAAGATAAAGTAGTCAAGGTGCTGTGGTACTGACTTTGGGTGTATACATCCATATACTTAGGATGTATATCCACATACCCTTAAAGATCAGTGGATGGAATAGACAGTCCAGAGATAAACCCTTACATTTATGGTCAATTTAATTTTAACAAAAGTTCTAAGGCAGTTAAAAGGGGGAAGAAATGGTCCTTTCACCAAATGGTGCTGGGAAACCTGGATGTCCATATACAAGAGAAGAAGGACAAGGAGAAAGAGAGAATGAGAAAAAGAGGGAGCAGAAGAGGGATTTCTTGGTACATACCATGTACAAAGATTAGCTCAAAATTGATCATCCTAAATATAAGAGCTAAAGCCACACAACTCTCAGCAGAGAATAATGGAGTGAATCTTAACAACCATAGTTTAGGAGGTGTTTTCTTAGACATGACATCAAAAGTACAAGACACAAAGAAAAATAGACCTCCTACAATTACAAACCTATGCACTGCACACAATAATATCAAGGAAGTGGAAAGACAATCCATGTCATGAGAGAAATATTTTCAAACCTGCCCGGAATGAAGGTTACATTAAGTAAAATAAAGAAAAATCTACAAGAAACCAATTGCTGTAAAATGTTGAGAGACTGTGGAAAATGGTTTGGCAGTTCCTCAAAAAGTTAAACATAGGGCTAGTGTTTGACCCAGCAATTCTACTCTTTAGTACATACACAAAAGAATTGAGAACAGATACTAACACAAACACCTACATATACACATATTTTCCTAGCAGCATCATTTACAATAACCAAAAGATAGGAAGAGTCCATTTGTCCATTAACAGATCAAGAAATTGTGGTGCATATGTAAAATGGGATGTTATAGAACTGTAAAAAGGAATAAAGTACAAGCACATTCTATGATGTGGATGAATCTCAAAAATTCAAAGCAAAATAGAACCAGAGGCATGGAAACAAGGAACAAACCGATAGGGATCAGAGGGGCAAGAGAAGGGGAATAAAGGAGGAAAGAAGGGGAAAGGACTAAAGAACAAGTTCAAATGACCCATGGAAAAGGACAACAGGGTGGGTAGGGATTGATGTGGGTGTGGGGGCTGGGCAGGTCAGGGAGAGTAATGGGGAAAAATTAGGACAACTGTAATTGAACAACAATAAATAAAAAGAATTGAATAGGAAAGAGAATTCAGTTTGAGGTTCAGAGGTACATTAGGATGTGATAACACATCAGCTAGACTCGGGGCTGGAGCCCCCTTACCGAAGATCCTGGGCACCATGGGTCTTCATTACTCTCCAGAGTCATTGATGGCAGAGCAGCAGCAGCACCTGTGTCCTGTAATTTATATACGCCATGTGCTCACATGTGTCACAACAGAGGGGCAGGGCTGCCAGAAAAGGAGGGGCATGGACTCCCAGTAACATGGAAGACACATTCTCAGAAGTGGACTCAATTTGGATCATAACAAATATGTCCAGAGTCCCCAGTTTCCACACTATCTATCAATACGTTTACTTGATTGGATAGTTTTATGTCCCAACATGGGGACCATTGTTATTTCACTGTATTTGAAGAGGACACCAAGACTCTGAGAGGTTAAGTCATTTGACAAAGTTCCAGAGTTTATAAGTGATGGAGCTGGACCCCTGACATCCTGGGAGGGTGATGAGCATGTCATTTAAAACTAGGAAGGAGCCACAGCTAGAAACTGGTAAGAGCATTGGCCTCAGGAGAGCAAGGGGGCATGGAAGTCAAGGAAGACAGGGAGACTTTTATTTTTCATTCTAAAAAAACATGCTGGAAATTTTACCCTATATATGCAAGTCTTTGAAAACTTAAAAAGAATCCAGGTTGGACCCTAGATGGTGTGGCTCAGTTGGTTGGAGTCTGTCCCATAAACTGGAAGGTCCCAGGTTTCATCCCAGTCAGGGTGCATGTGAGAGGCGTCCAATTGATATTTCTCTCTCACATGGATGTGTCCCTCCCTCTCTATCTCCCTTCCTTCCCCTCTCCCTAAAATCAATAAGCATGTCTTTGGGTGAGAATAAAAAAATAAATAAAACAACCCAGGTTGGGCAAGTAACCAGGAGAGTCACCACCCCGCATGATAAGTAAGTACAGTGAGAGAGCTGAGCAGGAGTGCTGTGGGGGCGGATGGAAGGGCCCTTCTTCATCACGGGGAGACTGGGAGCAGGGTGGGAAGGCGGAAGGAGTTGCTGCCTCAGCTGAGCCCTGAGAAAGTAAGGGTGTTGCTGGGAAGAGCGGGGGCGGTGTGGAAGGCATGGATCTCAGGCATCAGGTGGAGCCTGTTTGGGAATTGAAGGCTGGACTGTGCTGGGCGGGGGATGGAGGCCAGTGCCACTGTGGAGGCAGGTGCAGAGGGCAGAGCAGGGCGGGTCGTGGCACTTTGCTGGACACCCAAGGAGTTGGGGTTTCGACCTGGAGGCAGTGGGAGTCACTCAATGATTTCAAGCCATGAAAATCCCAAACAGGTGATAATCATGTGACACTGCAGTGTCTGTCCCCATACTCAGGACTCTCACTAGGCTGCAGCAAGGCCACACTGGGTCACATGCCCACTTCCCAATATCTCAATGATTAACTTGTATCTTTATTATGGTATTGTTTGTGGGTGTTGGTATCAGTTTCCATGGAACTCTTGCATTTTTGCATGTCTTGCAGTGAAGCAGTGACTGTCTTTTTTCCTTCCACATTCTTTTCAAGGATGTTTGCACAGTGAACACCCTTGGCAGGTAGAGAGTATCTCCCTCCAGAGCCCAGGACAGAGTTGTTTAGTGTCCTGTATATTAGTGACACGATCCTCCTCCAGAAGAACAGGCTGTCCAGTGTGAAAAAGTCAGGCTTCCTCACTTTGGGGTGTGTCTCCTGTAATACAGCCCAATGTGAGTGCTGGTACTCCTGGTCCTCTTCCCTTGCCCTGCAGGAAATGGGGCTCCAGGGGCAGGTGTGAAGGTGGATACTCTGGTTACTCTCTGTTGCTGTAAGTGGGAAACGGTCCTTTGTCTCTGACCCAGAAGTCTTGTGTCTCCTGAGAGAAGCCATAAAACTACAGCAGGGTGCAGTCTAGTTAATATCTCAGTCTCTTCACAGTTACTGACAGTTGGTTTATTTAAGTATATGTTTATTCATCCCTTGCCTTTATTATTGCCTTTATTTATTCCTTTCTCTGAAGGACTTTTGCATGCACCATACTACTATTTCTGTCCACAGGTGAAAGAAAGACAAACTCTCAATAAGTGGTTTTGCTTTACTGATAGAATGTAAACTGACTACTTTTTATTGATATAATGTATATGCCATATAACTTATCACTTCAAAGTACACAATTCAATGATATTTTTGCTGACTACATTTTACAATTCTAAAGGACATAATCAGAGTCCCCAGGGACTGGGCTGGGTGGTGACAATTTCCACCAGGTGATAGGAGGACATCCAGGTGCTTTATGCACGGTGGGTGTCACCACTACAGGAGAAGAACCACAAAGTTGGTAAATCTGAATTGTTCTTCACTGTGACAACTTTGTTGGCACAATCACTGATAAAACTGAATTTGCCTCTGAAGGCATCTAGACCAGACCATCCAGCAGAACTTGCTGCAGTGATGGACATGTGCTATGTCTGCACTGTCCAGTGTGGGAGCCACTAGCACACATGGTGAACAAGAAAAGGAGTTCTGTAATAAACCATAAATTCCTAACTGGGCCAGTCCAGGTGGAGAGTCACACCCAGGCCTATAACTCCTTTTTTTTCTTAATAATATTTCATTGATTATGCTATTAATTTTCCAAGTTTTTTTTCTCCCCTTTCTCCCCCCTTTGCTTTGCATACCCATCGTCCAGCATTCCCTTAGTTTATGTTCATGGGTTATATATATAAGTTCTTTGGCTTCTCCATTTATGGTACTATACTATTCTTAACCTCCCCCAGTCTATTTTATACCTACCATTTATGGTTCTTGTTCCCAGTACCATTCCTCCATTCTCCCCTCTTACCCTCCCTACTGATAACCCTCCATGTGATCTCCATTTCTGTGATTCTGTTCCCATTCTAGTTGTTTGCTTAGTTTGTTTTTGTTTTTTAGGTTTAGTTGTTGATAATTATGATAGTTTATAGTCATTGTGATAGTTATGATAGTTTATTGTCATTTTACTATTCATGCTTTTTGATCTTCTATTTCTTAGATAAGTCCCTTTAACAGTTCATATAATAAGGGCTTGGTGATGATGAACTCCTTTAACTTGACTTTATCTGGGAAACACTTTATCTGCCCTTCTATTCTAAATGATAGCTTTGCTGGATAGAATAACCTTGGATGTAGGTCCTTGCCTTTCATTACTTGAAATACCTCCTCCCAGCCCCTTCTTGCCTCTAAGGTTTCTTTGGAGTAATCAGCTGATAGTCTTATGGGAACTCCTTTGTAGGTAACTGTCTCCTTTCCTCTTACTGCTTTTAAGATTATCTTTAATCTTGGGTAACTTAATAATGATGTGCTTTGGTGTGTTCCTCCATGAGTCCAATTTCTTTGGGACTCTCTGGGCTTCCTGGACTTCTGGAAGTCTATTTTTTTTCTCCAGATTTAGGAAGTTTTCCTTTATTATTTGCTCAAATAACTTTCCCACTTGTTCCTGTTCCTCTTCTCCTTCTGGTACCCCTATGATTTGGATGTTGGAGCATTTAAAGTTGTTCCAGAGGTTCCTCAGCCTCTCCTCATATTTTTGAATTCTTTCTTAATTCTGTTCTGGTTGAATGTTTCTTTCTTTCTTTTGTTCCAAATCATTGATCTAAGTCCTTTTTTCCCCCCTTTCACTGTTGGTTCCCTGTATATTATTCTTTATTTCACTTTTCATAGCCATCACTTTTTCCTCTATTTTGTGACCATTCTCAACCAATTCTGTGAGCATTCTGATTACCAGTGTTTTGAACTATGCATCAGATGGGTTGTCTATTTCCTTGTCACTTAGCTCTTTTTCTGGAGTTTTGATCTGTTCTTTCTTTTGGGCCATATTTCTTTGTTTTGGTGTACCTGTTATGTTGTAAGGGGGCAGAGCCTTAGGTATTTGACAGAGTGGGGCAACCCTCTTTGCTGTGTTGTGATGCTGTATGTGGGGGAGGGGTCAGAAAGGCAACAATGCCACTGGCTTGCTCTGCTTTAGCCTCACTTCCCAACGAACTCTCTCATGTGAGGCTGGGAGTTTCTCCCACTGTCACAACCCCCACAGTCATTTACATCTAGCTTGGAGTCTTTAGTTTCCTATTCAGCCAGCCCCAACTCCCGGGTATGGTCCTCGACCTTGCCACAAGTCCTGGTAGACTGCCAGTCTATCATCTCCGCCCCTCCTACTGGTCTGGGTGAATATCTCTTTAACTCATTGGTTGTTGGAGTTCCATGCAGTTTGATTTTCTGGCACTTCTGGTTGTTTATTATTTTTAAGTTGGTTGTTACCCTTCTTTTGGTTGTGGAAGGAAGCAAAGCATTTCTACCTATGCTTCCATCTTGGACAGAACTTCAGGCCTCTAACTTCTTTAGTGAACAGTTTTAAGCCAGCCATGTCCATTGTTCTTGTGCATCTGGGTTAACACACCTTTCAGAAAAAAATATTCCTCAAAGGCACAATACTTAAGAAAGCACATAGTCTTTTTTTAAACTTTATTTATTTTTAGAAAAGGGAAGGGAGAGAAAAAAAAGAGGGAGAGAAACATCTATGTGTGGTTGCCCCTGAAGTGCCCCCTACTGGGGACCTGGCCTGTAGCCCAGGCATGTGCCCTGACAAGGAATCAAATTGGTGACCCTTTGGTTTGCAGGCCAGCGCTCAATCCACTGAGCCACACCAGCCAGGGAGAAAGCACATAATCTTTTTAATTATCCTGTCATCCCTTCACTGTCTTGCTTTCTCCTACCTTCATGTAATCCTTATGTTCCCTCCTTAATTTCAAGTGTATAAAAGAAGCTGAAAAACTGTTATTCTCTGGACTATTTGAGATCTTGCTCCCCAGAATATGTTGTCAGCTTGGCTCATATAGAATCTTATAAAAATTCTCCACAGGTTTGGACACTTCTAATATTGACACTATTGAACCCTTAAAATGTGGTTCATGAAACTGAGACGCTGAATTTTAAATTTTGTTTAATTTTAATTGACTTAAATAGCAACATGTGTCTAGTGGCTACCATATATTGGATACCATTTTTCTAAGAAACACAGTGCTGCTGCCTTTAGAGAGAACCTCCAGACTACCGAGCCGTCCCCGAGGTGCTCCAGGACCCCCTGCCCTGGAGCACACTCCTGAGCCAGGGCCTGAAGTCAGCAGGTC